ATTCTCGCCGCTGTAAATCCACACGAAAATCATAAAAATCGTTCGAAACTAGAACAGAGTAAACTAGCTTGCGAACGATCACAGCGTGAGTTCAAGGTTGCGCGTCGTCTTTTTTAACTTCGTCCTCCTAAACATTTTTATGTTCTCCGTTAACGCTAAGGCTCCCGCGTGTCCACAATTCACGTATCTGATTACTCGTAAAAGTCGCGATGGTCGATCGTCATTGTGATCGAAATCCATTATCAAACGTTATCGTAAGATGATTAAAACAACGAACGGACGAATAGTCCATCTTCTAAAGCGTTAGCCTCTCGGTCGTTTTATTCGCGCGTGAATTTTATTTCAGCCGACGAGAAGTAGAAAGAGAGAAAGGAAAGGGAGAGAGAGAAAGAGAATCGCGAGGTAAAAATAGAAGGTTGGCGCGGTCACCGCAAAGCGTCGATCCATAGACCGCGATTAATTTCGATCAGCGAAGAAAAAGAAACAAGGCAAATCGCGAGGACTGGAATACGAGATCGGCGGTGGAGGCAAGGGTAGGAGAGGATGTGCCGAGAATGCGGCGATAATATTTAAAAATAGAGACGACGAAGCTGCGAGACGCGGCGCGACACGCGCGCGCGCACACGAGGGATATAATTCCCGAAATTAAACCGAACTGCGGTACCGCGCGTGGAAAGTACTGCTCGTTGGCAAATTCGAAACGTTTTGCAACAGGTGCGGCGGAAATTCGGTACGTCCGCGGCTGAAACTTAAGCCGTGCGTGCTGTATAACACGCCGGGACACTTGTTGCCAACAAGTTGGAAATTTACTGTGTTTTACTATGATAAAAATGATCCATAGCTGGCTTAGAACTGGCAATGGTCGATTAATCCTAAACAACACTTGCGAGCAGTTCATCAAGGTCCTCTTTAGCGTATAATTAAAAACTTCTAAGCGACGTACGTGAAAGGCTCTCTAGAGATCAAGAAAAGATTAAAGAAATGTAATTTATCATTCCTAATTGGTTATGTTATCGTATAATTGAAGGAAATCCTGATACCCTGCACCGATCTACATATGTATAATTCTTATACAAAATCAAACCAAGCGTGCGGGTAGATCCGCGTAATGACAAAACTGTATGAACATTCGTTGAAAGTGTTATTTAGCAATTCAACATCGGCAAAACATTAATGAGAGACATAATGAGAACGTGGGAACTGTTTATCAATCGCGCCGGCCGACCAACACAAACCTGGGCACAAGAGTATAATTAGTTCTTACGAGATACAAAATAGTCCGTAAGAGTGTAATTAATGCTTTGCGTGTTACAAAGACCATTTGCGTCGAATGCAAAACGATATGTCGTGTTGCACGCATTGATTTCCATTGATTTCCACAATGTATATAGATAAATGTGTATGTCTTCGAGGTAAAATTTTATATATCTGATATATAGGCTTACTTTATTAACTAAACGCGCCAGTTTTTGTTGTAATAAGCGGCCGCGCGCCGAGATAATTAACGGGATGTTGGATAACATTCTAAAAAAGCGCGTGTTCCAATCTGCGAAATACATGCAATCAACTTTCGCGAAAATTAAGAAGTGTATTTATGGTATACAATTTTTAGATTTCATCATATAAGATGTAGTCGTATTGAAATCGAGTTTTATGAGGAACAATTTATAGGTTTACCTCTAACGAAAATGTTTTATTACTTTAAACGTTATAAAAATTCTTCGTATTTATACGTATTACAAAATATATATAGCTTCGACAATATACGAGCTACGCGAAGGGACGAACAAAACGAAGGAAACGAATTACAAAATTTCCAAAATTCAGTAATTGAAAAGGGTGAAACTGCCCTTCCGCGACGTCCGGCGATCCGTCGACACTAATTGGACAACGATTTCTACGAATCTGTTACATTGTAACGATCGCGAGGCGCGGTGCACTTCCGCGCGCGCCGTTCGCGCCTGCTTTCCCACAGGAATCGCTCGCGCATAAAAAGCCAAACGACGGAATAATTGCTGGGTCGTTAATTCCCGCTGTAACACACTTAGCAATAAAATCATTTGCACCCGACCGGCCCGGCTCGTCCGTTTATTATGATCCGTAGAAATCGCTTTCTCTCTCCTCCACCGCCGTGACTTTCGGCCGTACCGAGTTCATCGGTTTTTGCCGGATCACCTGGCATCACGTTTCTTCAAAACAACGATCGCTCTCGTGACTTTCAATCGTTCGATCTTACGCCTCTCGCGTCGAGATCTTCCGCGAGTGCCACTAGAAAAAACAGTCTCTCAAAGAAATGAGGTCGCTATTTCGGGGTTTCTATCGGACTACGTGGTAAAGATGAATGGACGCATGTGTATATGTGTGTTATTCAAAACTTCGAACTGTTACAGAAATATCTCATCGGAACTTAGTTATAAGGAGTATTTTAATGAGTGATGTCAAATTAATTAATTATACGAATCTTCTTCGTCCGTTTAACGCGGAAAGACAAATTTTGAAAATATTCGCGTGAACCACATTTAAAATATCTTGTATAATCAATAAGTCAAATACCAAGATATGCACGTATGTAATTATTGTAATTACGAGAAAAACTCTGATCGTACTTATCAATGTATTATTTTTTGCGCGATATGTTTGACGTTGATGTCCGTCAAATTTGTGAAGTAACCAAATTTGTGAAGAAATCTCAACCTCAGAATTCACCGTGAACTAATTGCTAATAACTTAAGCACGACCGGCATTCGTAGAAGTCATTAACACTGTGAGCAATCGCTCATGTTTCACTCCATGAAAAAGTCTGGTCCCGTTATTCACGGCGACGCGATCAAAATGAGTCGCGCGTTGGCAGTACCGGCGATTAATTTTTCAGTAGTAAATTTGTGTCGTTTTTAGACGCGATCGTCAGCGAAGCGGCAATTTTGACTTGCGCTATTTCTGAGCGTGAATATTGGTGAATCATAAAGGCCGAACATATTCATGTGACATGTACATTTATATATTCGGCATAAAACGAAAACTTTTTAGGTACGCAACAATTTAACGTATAAAATTTCTTTGAACGCCTTTGCCTTCCTTCGTTTCTTAAATATATCCAAAATATTATAAAACTTTTATTTAGAGATGTTTAAAATTTAAAATTATTGTTCGTAAATATATCACGCAAATTGAAATTAACATATAAAATATATAAAATAAATAAAAAGTACTGATTTTTTATATTGACCGCCTACATTTATCGCTGTCGAGACGGACATCATTTTTCAGCTTTATAGAATTATACATAATAGTATATAACGATTATATCCTGCTTTGAGAAGCATCCGCGGCAATTATACTATTGTACAAATGAACGCGTGAGTGCACTATTAGCACCTATTACATAATCATTACAACAATGCCACGGTAGTTCGATGACGCAGTCGATTCCACGGGACTCAACTCGCTAAGTGACGACGCGTATTAAAAAATTCAGATTTATTAGTGCATACCGCGCGATAATTTATTGTTCTTCCCTTCGAAATTGCGCAACGGCCGGGCAAGCAACCGAGCCTCGTGAAAACGTCTCTGCCGGACGTGCGTACTTTAATTAAACGCCGCTTCCGGTCTGTCATTAATTCGCTCGCTTACCGGCCGACGACGATTAGAGCGCGACGTTCGCGCGAGAACACGCAATGTTGCCAGATTCGATTTTTTTTAAATAAGAATATTTTGAGTAGATATTATTATTTAAGGAAACTTGGAGAGTCATCTGCGCATGCAAAACTTTTGGATAGCAAATATAGTGGTCTGCTTTTATCGATCACGGTCCCTTTACGTTTTCAACAGTTCCAACGAGATAACTTTTTTTTACAATTCGTTAAATTTTAATAAATCTTGTATTTCATGAAAAATAACACAATATGCTTAATGTGAAAAGTGTCAGAAGAATAAGTGGCAACGTAATTTTTCATTTGCCATTGTACAACGCGGTACTTTATGCGTTGTTTATTTCTACATTATGCACAAATTATTCTAGACGGTCTTTACAGTAGTTAATGCACTATGGACGTTTCTGGCAGCCACTGAGTGACACTAATGCCAACACCGCGTTGGCACGGAATGCATTCGCGCTGTTCATTCAGAGCGAGAATGATAAGCAGAATCAGCGACAGTAGAAAAAAAGAGCGTCTCTACATTGCCTGAGTAACGTTATTGTTTACACGATTTTGCCAGAAAAATTGCATTTTTTTTTTAGCGGAAAGGATAAAGGACAGAGATACGTTTTACGATAACACTTTTATTTAGCCTGCAGAAGAAGTTCCCTTTTACTGCCTGAAAATATGAAACATTACATCTTTTCTGTATTTAACGATTTATTTTCGTTTCAATCGTATAGTCACCGGGTTTATGAGTGCTGCACCCATCATTTTGCGAGTCATTAATAACCGTCGATGTAAATGCCAATTTCAGCAGCGTTTACCGTCGACAAAACTCCGCTGCGTCTTAAATTGTTTATTCCTCCGTTTCGAGGGAGGAATGGTGCATTGCGCGAATTGTCCTAATTATAGTGTTGCGATCAATAAAAAGTATCGGGCACTTTTTCGAGCAAAATATGTTTTTCGGTCATTCTCGTGGTTAGTTTTTACTGGTTCCTTAGATTAGTTGGTTAAATGTGGAGTGACCTCAATGTATAATACACATTCAGTGCTATCTTGATCATTTTATTTCTTCATTATTTTCATTCAATTAAGATGTATCTCGAAAAAATGACTAGAATTAGATTTAAAACTAAAATTGAATTCAAGATTTGGTTCAACTGATTTGCTTCGAGGTTTGTGTGATTCGTTTTTCTCTCTTCACCTATATTTCTAAAAGTAGAAAAGTCATGTACATAGGTGTATCTTCGTATTGTATTGTACTCTGTGTATTTGATTTGTGCATTAATTATTCAGATTATTAAACGCTCCGCAAAAATCGGCGACTTATAGATACATCGTATTTGTCTTTCCATTGCTCACCTCAGAAGGAGAGTATCGCGAAAATATCGAAATCCCAAGAGGAAAGGGCGACATGCTAGAGACACGAATCCAACTTGATCCAAGTTGCGACAGTCTTTAAATGCCCGCTACACCTCTCTCGCGGTCGGAGTTTCTCGTTACTTCCTCGAAGCACGCACCACCTTTTTACTTTCCTCCTCCACCCTCTGATTCTCACCGACGAGTTCACCGTGTCACTGCGGTCCTTGACGTATCATCGTCTCGATTAATCGCGGACAACGCGTATTTGGCGATGCAATTCCCGCGGTTTTTCCCCCGTTAGAGAAGTTGCTAACGTTCTCAAGATTCGCGATCTCGGCTGTCATGCGGACCGGAACTCGTGTCAACATCTCGCGACACTTGCGAGATCCTTGCAAAATGTTCGTTCCGTGCGCGCTCGGACAATAATCACCCCGGTAAATCGTTTCTACGCTCACCGCGCGTTGATAATCCAAGTTAACGATATAATCATTCGTCGCATTTTGAGTTTCACCGTGCAACCTTTACGCGAGGCGTGCGGGTTCTTCGTCGTCCCAACTTCGCGAAATCCGCGGTAAGTTTCTTGCGCGCGTTTATTTCAGCACCGCGCGATTATATCGTCTCTCGACAAGTATCGGCGATCACGAAATAGAAATTAACTCGAAGCAAATGGCTCATTCACGAAGACAGCGCGCGTACCGTATCGACCCGAGTCTCGTTCTTCGATCCTCGATTACTCTCGCCGAATTGATCTTCCATCTTCGCCGGAAACTCGTAGTGCGAGTTCGCTTCCGGTTGAATCAAAGAGCGATGCCGTACGCGCTTCTTCGAGCTTCGCTCGAAATGTCAAACTCGACAAGGGGAACGGCGTGCGCAGCGTTGCCCTAGGTCGCGATCGATCACTCACGTGGCGAGCGCGGCAACGTCAACGTGTCGGTCTCCTTGGACCGTGTCAAAAATTAAGTAAATCGATGGCGAAGTCGGAGCGTCAATCAGCGTTACATTTGCGTTCCTCGTTCTAACTTGAAACTTTCGGGAAAACGCCGATTGATAAATCGGTCGTTTGCTGTTAACTATCTGTACACGAATAATATATAAATATGCTAAGTTTTAGTACTGCAAAGCAGGAAAGAATACGAGAACAGTCTGATTCGATCTCTCGAAACGTGCAAATGCTCGAAACGACTTTTCATAATCCTCAGGATTAGTTGGCGTATCAAAGTCTTTAAAGACACAACTCCGCCTCTCTATCACGAACGTGACTCGGCAAGTAATCGAAGTCACGTGAGTTTGACGATATGTTCATAAGTTCCTCTCTTGATCACACAATTTCTGTTAATTCCGTTTTAATGGAAACGTTGCGAGATCTTCGTTAATACGATTTCTCTCTTCTACAACGAACATCGTCGGAAGTAGAAGACCCACACTGCTCCGAAATAGCGTGACCTTCCGTCCGAATTGTAAAACGCGTTATTCCTAATCTGAAAGTCTCTTCGAGCGATCTCATCGCGTTCTCCAAGTTCGCGCGCGTTTGGTACCGCACACCAGGACACTTTCGGATCACGGTTGATTCCCGCGACCCGTGACGTCCCTCTTCGATCACTGAAACATCAACTGCCGAGGTCGATCTTCAGTCTTTTTGTCCCAAAGTGGAAGGAATTCTCGCGAGTCCTCCAAAAGATCGAGATTTCGCGCGCGCTATTCTGTCTCGCGATGCTGCACTCGACTCACGTGGCGACCCGGTCTGAACCCTGTCGGCGGTGACCACTTCCTCGGATAGTCGACCAATCGGCTGCGCGCCAGGACGCCTCGAGCTACGATCGTGGGTCCTCGTCCGCGGTCGGTCGCTCTCGGTAGCCGTTCGTCTCTGTCGCACTCACGCGCTTATCACGCGTGTGTACGTGCGTGCGTGTGCCGCGTGGTCGGCGGCATCGGCAGCGGCCGCGGCGGCGGTGGCTGAGCACCACAACGTCCGTAACCACTTTCTGAACTGGTCTCGGGCAGCCGCGGGGACAGATCGCGGTGACGCCTACGACGACCAGGACGACGTGGACGTCCAGGACTGACCGTAGTCCTGGTGCCGCTTCCTCCGATCTCCGCACGCATGAAAGCACGCGCTGTCTCGCATCGAGCGTGCGCCTCGTCCAGCGTCCGACACGATACTACCTCTCTCCCCTTCCTCTCTGTCTTTCTCGCTCTCCCTACGCCCCCTCCACCGTCGCCACCATTCGCTCCGTCTCCCTCTGGTTGCGATCACCCGCGCGGGTAGGGAGGATGTGGGGAGAGAACTACTCTCTGGTAGCCGCTCATTAAACGCTGCGGTGACGTCAGGAGCAATGATACTATCGAAATCCGCGGGAGAGAGAAAGAGAAACGGCGTCCGTTCGCGCCTCTCGCTGCGTAATTGATCCCCAGCATGCGCGATCATGATTGATGAATAGATAGCTGAAGCTTAGGTTTGAAAATTTAACGAATCCGCGCCAGGAAAATATGAAGGTGGACGGTAGAAACCTTTTCGTACGCAATAAAACGGACTCACCGCGATAGTTCCAAGGCACGTTTCCTCCCTGTTTTGTCAATTATTAAATATACTGATAGAAATTACTAAAGTGACACTTTATGCGACAATGCAAAAATTAACACAAGTTATCTTTGCTCAAATTACATACACGTCTCGATTTTCTTCTTCGATGATTATTATTTTTGGCACGTCATCCGTCTTGGGTAAAATTACATCGAATTAAAGCACCTCGTGATATAGCACCGTTCTAACATAGTGTTTCCAACAGAACTACGAAGAAATGCTGGTTTGCAATTAGTAGAGGAATCTCGGTGTTATTCGAGTGTTGCTCATATAGATGTAATTTTCTCTTTTCCTCCTGTCATTGAACATCTCAGTGTTTTTCTTTCGCACTTATCTGTTTACGATTATTAGCGTACAGTCTTTGTCAAAAAGTTATCTCTAGATAATCGTGTCAGCAATCGTATGCACTTATAAAACAAACGTTTCGGTGACGTCAAGAATCCCGTTCCGTATGACATAATTCACACAGGCAAACAATCTAATTGACATAGTTACACAGTAGAACTTTGTAACAGTCGCTATTGATCATCTGTGAACCAGCAAAGTGGAAGGAAAGGTCATTGATTGCTTATGCGTCTTGAGATCAAGCGTAAAAGTCTGTAAAAGAACAAAGTAGTTCGCACAATTTCTAGAATCTTTCGTTAAACGGAAGAACTTTATCGCGCTGTGAAACATTAATCGAATTTCCGAAGCAAGAAAAGAGTCCCAGAAATATTTGAAATCTAAGAGTAGTCAGTAAACATCCCTTGACGGAGTTATTGCGGTCAGTACGTTTTGTTAAGATTTCCGCGATCTTCTTCCGTATCTCTTCTAATACGTTAAAATGCGTTAAATTCTCAAAAGAACCTAAACTTGAAATATTTATTCATTAATCACACGATCGTGTACGCTGGGATTAATTAACGTAGCATCAAAAAGATCTTATATCATCTTAACATTCTCTAGATAACTGTAAATGCCTTTTAAGAATCTTACAACCGAAAGAAATTGCGTAAAGAAATGAGAAATGCGTGGATAATTTCGCCGCTGCTAACGCGTAAGAGACTCGGTACACGTCGCTTATGGAAACGCACGGGCGACATTAGCGATAGGAAGTGCAATTTTAATTCGCGGAAGAACGTCAGGGGAGCGACCGATCGCGGCGCGAGTCGAGGAACGAGTCGAGAAGAGGATGTCGTCGTCGTGGGTGGTCCGTCTAAAACGTCCGTAGCTACTTGGAAATGGATTTTGCCGCGCTCGCGACGTCCACCGCTATTTAAAGATGAGGTGTACAAGCTGCGACTGTATTCTTTTCCTTCCCGCCGTCGAACCGCGTGCTTGTCCGTCTCCCTTCAGCACGTGAGTTCGACCAGTGGAAAACGCCGTGAGTGCAAAGACACCTTTCACGCGATACCATCGTCGGCGGTAATCACCGGGGCGAAAGGTCCCGGCACTTAAGACTCGGGGTTTCGTCTTCAGGTTTTGTAATGAGAGGCGCGGCGGCGTCGTGTATTTATTTTCAATAAACGCACTGACGTCCGGCGCGGATCGAAACGAGTTAGACCTCGGAGCGCGTGAATGTAGATGTTAACGACGAGTGTCCCTCTCTCTCTCTCTCTCTTTCTCTCTCGGTCACGATTAGGGATAATATTATTATTGTCAAGCGTATAGCCGCGGAGAAGAATCGGCGAGTGGAAACGTGATTTTGCCAGCCGGACACGACACTTTCTTTATCCACTCAAATTTGTGAACTTCGCCACGCGGATACCACATGACACACGCTCGTTGAACTTATCTTACTATCCGTTTGTAAGCGCGAAGTGCACTCACAGCCTGAAACCTCGGCTTTTGTAGACGACTTTCTTTATGGATCAAATTCGATTATCTGTGTTGATGCGATCCGCGTGTGCTTTATGCAACAGGATCGATTGTACCAAGAAGGATATCTTTTATGCAAGAGATTATTTTTATAGCGATTTTTATAGCGAGAGATGACATATGCTGTGACAGCGGTAACATTTATTTGCGTTGTATTTTTCAGTTGGAAGCATCGTGCACGCATGTTAATATTTAAATATGCGAAGTGTTTACATGAAGCTATCTATTTAAATTATAAAGATATTTATACCAGAAAAGCAATAATTTAATATTCTTAAAAGATAATTTATTCTTGGCTTCGATCGCCATCAAGAATCTTTTCAAACTGAAATAATCGATATGTTCAACGAATTTAACGAGTCAAATTTGGCAGCCAAACTAACATAAAACCGACATTTATAGGAGCTTACGTTAACGTGACGTAAGCATACTCGACGTCCAGGCGAGCTGACACCGCGTTAAATATAATAATAATACGTAACGGATATCGTAAGCGTGGTTTTCGTATAGCGTTATGTCGGATGCAGGTACAACGCGCTTTCACCGGAAAGTATTATCAATGAGTTCACGTCTAAAGGCGGAACGTGTGCGCGGCTCGAAATATCCGGTGCCCGCGGCGCTAAAGCTTGCAGTCCACGCGAGTCGACGCGATAATTATTGCGGATTACCCGCCTACCTGCCGCAATCTGTACTTAATTGGCGGATAATCGTTTAAATAAGTGAGGTATTCTCAGCGGGACAAGTGGCCGGTAAGTTCAGGATTAAAGTGGATCGACCGAGATACGGACGAGATACGGGATTAGAAAAGCGCTGTTCGCGATTCATGGTGAACCATATGCTACGACAGGAAATTATCTACCGGCTTCTCCACACGCGGGCAGTTGCCATCCGAAAATAGCTGACGTTTTCTTCCAAGACGCGCTGAATTTCAGAAACAATCACAAAACCGCAGCGAAACGTGATTTCAAATTGTCTCTTAATACTGGCGAGAGGTAAAATATTAAAGAATTTATGAAAGAATGAACAGTAATAAGATCGCACGTGCAGTTTGATGTATGAATGCATGAAATAAAGGATATGACGGGCTTATAACGAATACAAGTAATAATAAAATATTAAAATATTAAACATTATAAATTAAGAAGAAATAATTAGTCTCTAGAAGTGAAATATCGATACTGCCTTTCTAAAACACACTTTTCGAAAAAACGTAGATTCGATAAAAGTCGCGTAGAACTTTAATAAGAGTTGCAACACGATGAATACAGCGCGCGATGCTTCAATCATAAAAGATCTCGCGAGAAATCGTTCCGCGTACTAACGCTTCCAAACATAGCAGGACTACAGCTAAACCGGAGGTGAGCTCCGACACTGGCAAATGCTCGAAAGTTTAACAATCGCTTCTTGTCAATTAGCATCACACGGCGCGGCGTGATTTATCGCAGAACCGGTTGGGCTATTGGGCGCCTTACGTGTCTTACGCGGTTATTTCAAACGTACGGCGCCGGGCACCTACATTACAAAAGCGGCCGATTAATTAAAGTCGAAACATCCGCGCCTCGAAATAGAGAGCCCCGAACACCCGCGTCCTAAATACGCGCGCGCGCACGTTCCGGTATCGCCGCAGTAATTATTTTGGATAAATTGTGCACCACCTACGCCAGCAGGCGCAACGATCCGCGCAACTCGCGCCGCAGTCGAAGCGCGGAACATTTGTGACCCGAAATAGCACACGCCCGCACACGTATCGCCCCGGTACACGCTACACTTCTCATTGTTTTTCTTAGACTGCAAGGTCGCTACGACGTGCAGGACACGTTGCCACTAACGAAGAAATTCTTTCGTAAAGACACTTCAACGAATCTGAGACAACAATTATCCGAATTACAATTAATATTTCGTTAATTTCCTAAGATTTCAAAGTATCACGAAAATAAAAAGCGACAGACACACAACCTTACTGATTGTGAGAATACCTGGAATATCTCGAATCTAAAAGTATTGAAAGCTGACTCTTCGGGCTTCGATATTCCACGAGCTCACTTCTCTCCTTTCCCCCCACCTAATGTCATTAGCACATTCGAGTTCCCGCTAGAGACGTCTTGCCGTCTCCAAGATAACTCCAAGACGCGAAGGGAAAACGGTAAAATGTGTTTACTCAAGTGTTCATTAGTACTCGCGGCATAGGCGACTATTTGGCGGGTTCAACTATAATTAGTTAACGACATCCACGGGCGATCTTGAGACGAACCCCACTTTAGCCGACGTCAATTCGGGTCGCGCTTATATCATGGCGGAAATGATTATCATATAGAATCGCGAGAGCAAGATATTTCCCGTGACGGATGGATCGGAAGGTTTAAAAAGGACGATTAACGATGATCATTAGTCGGCGGAAGAGTAGGGCGGAAGGGTAAAAAGAAACGATAGGGGGAGAGGGCGAAAAGGCTGTGGGGGTTGAAGCTGTTTCGCCGGCGAGTAATTTGATCGAACGGGTCGAATTAGCGACAGAGCGAAAACTCGTCTAAGGAGCGCATGTAAGAGAAGAGAGAAGATGATTCTCCCTCCACTTCCTCCCTGTCTCTCTCTTTCTCTCTCTCTCTCTCTCTCTCCACCCATACGCTATAAACGTACCGCTCAGAATTAGCGTAGCCGGCACATGCTAAACATTCAATAAAGCGCTCGAAAGCCGTCCG